CGTCCAGGGTCATAGCCTTTGCCTGCTTGGCAGAGAAGAGCATTGAGAGTAGTCTGCGGAAGTAGTGCGAGAATTCAGCTACCTCCATAGTATCAGGTAGGCCACGGACGTTGATGTTCTTCCATCTCCGCTTGTTTTCCAGTGCATTTGTTCGGATTGTGTTTGTGGGTGTTGGAATTTGGTTACGGCCTGCTCTAGGGTAGCAATGCGGGTCTTGTGTGCTGCAGTGGTGCGCTTCGAGTTGTGGACACGGGCCGAGGATCAGTTTACCTCCTCCTGGAACTGCCCGATGTCAGCTGCAATGTTGCGGAGGAGTTCAGCCAACATGCTCCGCAGAGAGTCCTCTATGACCGGAGACTTGTCGGATTGTTTCTGTTGTGAGTGCTGCATCTTGTTGGGTAGCCGGGCCTCTAAGGGTGTCTCGCTGTAAAAGAATTCCTCGCTGGTAGTGCGTCATGGAGCATCTTAGAGTGGCGCCATGACAGGCCTGTGAGGAGTGCGGCCTCCACCGTAAATCGCAGATATCTGCCGTGCATGGAGGTCGATCAGGTTTGCTCTTCTTGCTGCTGTGCCTCATGACAGTTGGTGAGTATAAGGTGCTGGTATTGCCAGTGATCTTTCATTTTTTTTCTGTGTATATAGGCTTGTTTTGGTGCCAGTGTGCTCGGAACTGCAGTGATGTGCGACTTGCCAGTATGTCTGCTGGCTCCCCTCCCCCACCCTCTTTTAGTCCTCTATTCTTGCTGTTAAACAATTTGATCCTTCTGGATTCAAAAGTTTTTGTTTCTTGGGTATTTTTTAAACCCCCTTTCAGTACTTTGATTTTTAGGTCCTTCATTGAGTGGCCAGGCTGGGTAAAATGGTGTCCCATGGGAGTGCAGTACGATTCTTCTTTGTGGTTTTGAGTGTCTGTGCATATTCATTCTGCCATTTAATTGTTGAGTGGTTTCCCCAATGTAGCATCCTAGGTGGCATTTGGTACATTGAATCATGTATACCACATTGCTGGATGTGCAGGAGTATGATCCTTTAATGCTGTAGGTTTTATTGTTGTGTGTGGCTGTGTTGTCTGTGCATATGTGTTGACCATTTGCAGCGTCCCATTTTCTTTCTTCTTCCTGTTGATTAATTTTTCTTGGAGGCTTGGTGGCTATCTAAAGGCCAAAATGAGTGTTTCAGAGAGAATGTTTTTCAAAGTAATCTCGTGTTAACATTGGTTGTAGGTCTTTAATGATTTTCCATATTTCCTCAAGAGCTGGGTTGTAGGTGAGTACAAGTGGCACTTGTGTAGATATTTTTTTTTTTTCTCTCTCTCTGTACTGTGGCAGACGCGTGCATGGAGTTTTTACAGCCGAGTTGATTTGTTTGGCAATAGTCTTTGTAGCCTTTCTGTCTCATAGATAGGGAGAGTACATTTAGATGGGAATTACGGTCATTAGAATCAGAGCATATATGATGGTACCTAGTGCCTTGGCTGTAGATGATGCCCTGTTTAGTATGGGAGGGGTGGAATCTGAAGCTGTGATGGTAACTGCACCTGTCTGTGGGTTTTCTGTAACCCGAGGTGTGGATTGTGCCATTGTTACATGTCACATATATATTTTTCAAATCTGAATTAGGATTTGTGTGACTCTCCCTTTTCCAACCCACACAATTTTTTTTTTTCTTCACTCTATATATAAAGGTGTCTTCTGACTTTAGCCTATAGTTTAATCATATTAACTGTCTAGATGTAGTGAGCAAGAAACTGCAGTGCAATCAAACATTCTATTTTTATGCCGCCTGATTCTTAGAATGTCTTGCTGTCTCTGCTGTAGAATTTAGCCTTTCATGTTTGAGATTATGTGAATCATGTAAGTCTTTGCCTTGTGCTTTTGGCAAGTAAGATGTGCAAAATGTCCCTAGTGTCTGACAGTGATGTCACTAAGGATGCCACCTCAAAATTCTGAAAATGAAACACACCCATTTCCTTTTTGAAAAAGGTTTTAATGGCTATTCTCTGGCATTATAGTTGTTTAATAACCCTCCTCCCACAAAAAACCTAACTGCATCTCGGCATCATTGAAAATGGAGTCTAGTAGCGGCAATTCCAAAGACTTAACCATGCATGTCTGATCTACTGAGGTGTTCACAACTATGTTTAATACTCTAATGGCCACAGATTACTTGTTACCGCTTTCTGATCGGTAAAATGTACTGTGTATGTGAGCATAGCCAAATTTTCCAAGTGATGCCAATTTCATTTGTAATCATGCATTTCTGAAACATGTGAAAGTTGCGGATCATTGCCTTCAGGAGTGTATTTAAATGTAGTAATTCCCCAAAACTGCCAGGAAATCTTCAAGGAGGCAGTTCACAACATTTCATTCTTAAATGGAAACTCCAGTGCTTGCTTGTATTTAGTTTTATTCAGAATAAACCTTTTGAATCCAACACATTCAATAGTGAGGTAGGGAAGTGCAGATCTTCAGCTGTAGAGGCTTTAGGCAACTGAGAATGGATCTGTGTAGGATTATTTTTTGTGTTTTGTTCCTTCTTGAATTGAGCAGGCATAGCTACTCTACTAAAGTCAAAACTGTTACGTGAACCAATCTTGTCTGAGAGTTTGTGTTTTCTGTTATGTGGTGGGCAGTTGGTTAATGGTTGCCATGTCTCTCATATGACCGCTTGTGGATTAGATCATTCTGTGCTGGTGGGTGCGGAAAACACAAATCGACATTTTATTGTTTGTAACGGTCTTGTCTTACCGCACTCATCATAAGTTTGCCAAGAGTAACTTATGGGCTGGTTCACTTGGCAATTTTCTGGGAATCACAATTACTCCCCCCAAATCCCCCCCTCCCCCCCTTACAGACGGCTGCCATAGCCTGCAAAGTTACAGATGTATCTACATTATATGATGACAACCTATGATGTCCCTTTAAGCCCATTTATATTGTGTAAACTCTTAAACTGTGCATTTAAAAAAAATAAAAAAATATTAATAATTTGAAAGTATCTGCAAATTACTGTTTAGAAAACTATATGCATCCAACTGCAGTGCGTCTGCACTCATGAAATTCTTATTTGCTCCAAGCTAAAGAGGCTTGGGATGTTCTTATTTCAATGTTAGGTTTCATGGCCTTTGTTGGCACGGTTTTCGATTACAACTTGATCTTGAATGCTATAGAATATGCAGCATCTCAGCCCTTTCTGAAACCTGAAGCCTTGCTTATAGGAACAATGTTTCTGTAGCAGATCCAGTCGGTTTGTGTCAGGAAGGCCTGTGTTGCATAGATTCCTCCGTGAATAAGCTGCTCTGCTTTCTTCAATAGCCGCATTGAATTCAGTAATAAGATCCAAACCTTGATGGGGAAAGCAATATGATCCACAATCGTGCTGGAGGATGAGAGGGGGATGGCAGAAAAGGAGTGCTTGCAGAAAGAACTTTATTATGTCACCATCTATGTGTCTCCTACCATGGATGTTGCATCGTTCCTTTGTGCTGACCTGTCTGCTTTTGATGTGCCTTGTCACTGTGTCAAATTACACCTGATAAAAGCGTTAATCTTTAGGGGCCTCTCTGAAAGCACTGGGCTGCGGGTTATAGAAAGCTAAACGGGAATATCTGCATTTAAATCTCATACTTTCTATTTGTATACTGGACTATTCTGTACTTCCGATAATTATTTTTATTTATATAAAATATATATTTACAAGGTGTAAAATTTTAAATTGTGGTTTATTCTTGCTCGGTGGGTGTGTGTGCATAACTATTTTTTGTTTCTGGTATGTAAGCCATAGTTTTACATTGCAATCTACCCCAAAATTGTTTTTCTTCCTGCTTATACCAAACTCTGTAGCTACCCTACCATGACTCCAGCGTTTCAGAATATGCTTAGGCTAATGAAATTAGTCTTTGGTGCATAGTACTGTTAATGTAAAAATAAAATAAAATTCTAATTAAGTTTCCTAGAAGGAAGTTGGTCAGATGGCCAGCTGGGATCTCCTATGATAACTTGATGTCCTACCTCCAGTGCACAGGGTAACCTTTGTTTTCACTCTCCTAAATGTATTTTACTTTGCATAGCACGAGTCCCCTTTAGTTTAATACTACTATGGTTAATGTTTAATTTTATGACATGCAGTGTACAGGTGTGACTCTACTGGTTCTGTGCTAATCCACATCACAAGATCAGTTGCAGACTCCCACCATCAGATTCTTTAACAAACCATACTATTGCAGACACACATTGTGATTACACAAACTCTAGTCTTGTTTTCTCAGGGAAACCCCCAAATCAAATTGTAATTTCTCACCAAGCAGTATATAAGTGGGGTCTGTCCTGGATAGACAAAAATAGCATGCAATATATTTTTTAATCTTTTTATTTTTTATTTTTATTTTTTTAAAGCCGTATCCCTGTAAAAACCAAAACCAGATCAGGTGAAGTTTAGAGATGTTCTTTAGACTATAAATATAAAATCCTCAGTTAGGCACTTACCCAGCAGAGATGCTGTAGGTTCCTGTAGAGCCACAAACTCAAATAGTATTAGCAAAAATATACGGCATCATGCACTCTCCTTTACCAATAAATACTTTCAGCTGCACAGTAGCTTGCTCAGAGTGCTCTTTTATCAGTTCTTAGACAGAACTGAAGACTATACATACTCTCAGGGGGAACCCTGGATTGCATTGCTCCCTGGTTTGAAATCCCTCTAGTGAAAGTAAACCGGAAGCAGGGGAGTTCCTAACACGTAGCCCACCAATACTACAGAGGGAAGAAGTCTGAAATTACTTGTACTCCTCCTGCAGAACTCTCCATTGCTGATTGATCTGCTGCCAGATTGGTTACTGTTCCAATAACTTTATTTAAAATGCATTACAGACTTGCCTATTCTCAATTCATGGAACTTTAAAACTGGCTGAGCTTCCACTTTCAGCAATGTTAGCCTTTTTGGAGTAACAGTGACTATTGGATATGGACTTATCTTAATTTTTTAAAATTTGTTTTGCTACCATTGCAGTGCTCAGACTTCCTGGATTTTGCTGTTTTGTTAGACTTATTTCATAGAATCACATGGAGCCTTAAATTACCTGGAAAATATATACAGTGCTTATTACCAGAATTTGTAGTTCAGCAACATCTTGAGGACCGGAGTTTGGCGAAGCCTGTCTTAGAAAAGCATGCCCCATTCCATGCTTGAAAAAAAATATTTCAAAATGACTTGCTGCTCTGCATTTCAACAGAAATACACGGATAAGGAGAAGATAATGCAAGACAGACTCATGACAGAATTATTTTTATTTATATTTTTTTCCACACTAAGTCTTATTTTTAGCCTAAAATGTAACGGTTATGACAATGTACTTTGAGGTTAATTTATATATTGTATGCATGTTAAAGTAAAATTGAGATAGAAATGCAACTTTGTTAATCCTTTAAAATCTTGTTTGAGAGTTTATTTTATTTATTTTTTGGGTGGACTGGAGTTCAGTAACCCATGGTCTAGAGACTCTGGAAAGAGTCCATGGTATGAACTGCTTAACATAGGGAATACGTATTGCCTGGGTTCTTGTGGGAACCCAGTGTAACT